TCCTCCGTTCCCTCACGCTTCCTCTTCGCGCCGGTGGCCTCCGCCATCACTGTGACTGCTGAGGGAGTGCGCATGCGCCACGACTAGAGTGGGTAGAGGCAAGAGGACTCAGCCCCCTAGACCCCCCCCCGCAGAGGGCTCCCCCTGCTGGGCTGGGGCTGCTACTGGAGGGAACCACTGGGAAAATGGGGCGGGGGGGGATTTGGATGGACGCTTCCATTCACTGGAAGACGCAACGATCAAGACAGCGTGGAGGGGCAGGTGGCTGCACAGGGCACCCACCGGTGCGTGGCCTGCAGGGGCCAGGGCAACAGGGCCCAGAAGCCCAGCCTAGGGTGACCAGACAGCAAGTGTGAAAAAGCGGGACGGGGGAGTGGGGAGTTATAGGTGCCTATGTAAGACAAAGCCCCAAATATCGGGACTGTCCCTATAAAATCAGGACACCGAGCCCCACCCTTGGGTGCAGGAAGCCACTGCCCCGCCCGGGTTTTGGGTGGGGAACATTTCCCAAAAATACAAGTTCGCCCAAAAACCAAGCAGCGCTTGTGACCATCGCTCTTGTTCCGCCCATATCTCCACCCAGCCAGGGGTTTGCTCCAACCAGCAAATAAGTGGTTTGCATGGCCCATGCACATGTGCCCTGGCCTTCAGGACGCACTGGGACATTTCAGTGTTTCAAATGCACGGCAAAGCAGTGTACATTGTAAAGCAAACCATTAAGTGCTGGTTCAGGGGTCGGCAACGTTTGGCACACGGCTCGCCAGGGTAAGCACCCTAGCGGGCCGGGCCAGTTTATTTACCTGCTGACGCGGCAGGTTCGGCCGATCGCGGCCCCCACTGGCCGCAGTTCGCTGTCCTGGGCCAATGGGGGTGACGGGAAGCCGCGGCCAGCGCATTCCTTGCCCGTGCCACAGGACCCTCTGTTGCTTTTTACAGATTCAGACTAACACGGCTACCCCTATGATCCCTAGAAAGTCTCACTCTTTGGCCTCAAATCTCACCCAGGGGGCTGTAAATCTCACTCTTACAGACAGCCCACCCTTGGACTCTCTGGGCGTCTTTGGTCACAGAAGATAAGGGCAGCCCAAGTAAGGTGGCAATTAACGTGCACGGTCCAGGGGCGGCAGGTTGGTATAATTTTTGGTGGTGCCCAGAATGGGTCCAAGTCCCCCCCCGACCCCGCCTAAGGCTCTGGGAGGAAGTTTGGGTGCGGGAGGGGTGCGGGCTCTGGGAGGGAGTTTGGGTGCAGGAGGGGGCTTGGTGTGCTGGGTGCGGGCTCTGGGAGGGGGTTTGGGTGCTGGGTGCAGGCTCTGGGCTGGGACAGAGGGTTGGGGTGCAGGGTGTGGGGCTGGCCATGAGGAGTTTAGGGTGCAGCAGGCAGGCTGCCCTGGGGCTGGAGCGAGGGGCCAGAGAGGACTCCCCCCAACCCTCTCCTCGCTGGTAGCAGCGAGCTGGAGGGAGGGGCCCCCTCCCTGGCCCCCTGGCTCGACACTCACACAAGCCCCCCCCGGCTGCTGCTCAGGAAGTCCAGTCAGGATAAGCCCCCCTGGAATCAACTCAGACACCTGCCAGGGGGAGGGGCGAGTGGGCTGCCACGTGCCTCCTCCCTCCGTAGGCAAAGCAGCCACTTCAGCCTGCCCCCGGCACTGCTCCCTTGTAGCCGGCAGGGGCCAGCGAGGGAGCGCAGCACAGAGAACTGCGGCCAATGGGAGCTGCAGGGGTGATGCCTGCAGGCAGGGGCAGTGCGCACACCGCCTGGCCGCCCCTGAGCCTAGGAGCTGCTGCCGGATATGCTGGCCGCTTCCGAGAGCCACCCGACCCGAGATAAGCGCCGCTTGGCCAGAGCCTGGACCCTGAACCCCCTCCCACACCCAAAACTCCCTTCCAGAGCCTGCACCCTGAACTACCTCCTGTACACTAATCCCCTGCCCTGAGCCCCCTCCCCTCTGCCCGAGGCTCAGCCTGGAGCCCCCATCCACACTCCAAACCACTCACCCCCATCCCCCCCAGCCCAGAGCCTGCACTCCCTCCCGCACCCCAACCCCCTGCCCCAGCCCAGTGAAAGTGAGTGAGCGACGGAGGGAGGGGGGCTGGAGTGAGCAGGGGAGTGGGGCCCAGAGAAGGGGCAGGGGCGTGGTCTTGGGAAGGGGTGGGACAAGGGTATTTGGGTTTGTGCAATTAGACAGTTGACAACCCTATACTTGGACTTTCCAAGTATTGCCGAACACCTTCCACTTCCAGTGACTATGGAGGTGCCAGTCACATGTCTATAGTTAAGGCTGAGCTGTGCACTTGAAACAGAGGTTTAACCTCTTGAAACAGAGGTTTAACCTCTTCGAGATGTGTGAAAAAAAATACTGC